GTTTCACTGCTTACCAAAAATCCCTATTGAATAATGTCCTGCAAATTGGAAATAGTTATAGGCATTTGTAATTTAATGATGGTTATTACTGAATTAACCCTGACCTCAATAGTGTACGAAGAAAGGCAGTCGTTTCGGAGAGTATAGATTCCAGAGCGTAAACTCTGAATAGTATCATTATAACTTGGCCTAATTTGCATTTAGCATAAATCGACCATTTCTTTTTAAAATAGATTAGTTCAAATTGATCACAACTGCTCTGAGCTTTCTGAATTCCGAAGGAATCGGCCAACTTTTAGCCCCTTCTAAGATTGGATGTGCGAGACAAGGAACTAAGAGCTGAAGATGTTTTGTGATGTTGGCGCTAGCGCTAGCGCTGGCGGTATGGGCGGTTGTAGTGGTGCGGTGTTGGGTGGGCACGGAGATGCCCCAACCGCCGGAGGCCATCTGCTTGTTTCTAACTGACCTGATGCAATTTTCATAACTCATTCGCCCAACTACTCACTTGGGCATAATTGCCCGCTATCTGGTCGAGCTTGATTTTTTTACTACCTTACCAGCGGTGGAAAGAAAGGTATAAATCAATGCCATTTTAGACCTATAACCGTTTGCATTGGAAATGACCTTATTTTAGTGAATTTTAAGATCTTTTCCATTTTTATCAGCCTATTAGCCTGGCAAGAGAAGTCTCCACGATCAGAGGAGTGGAACCAAACACTTTAATCTGATATTTTAAGGGCTTAAATCACACTAAGACATCTGCCCTCACTTACGCTATGAAGGGTGGGGTCAGAGGCATAGTCAACACTCGGTTCTGGCGAATGACCCTGTTAAAACGATACCACAGCTAAGGCCATCTTAATCAGGACATAAAACGAGAAGTTACTCTGTTTATTAGCCTCTGCCCCGTTATAACAGCGCCATAGGTGGCTCCTTGATGAGTCAAACTTATGGGTTATGGAAAAAATGGGCTATCCCCACAACGAGTCAACATCAATGTGTGGGGGAGATTTCCACATCCCACTTTGTTGGTGAAAAGTTTGGCGTTCAGCCCTGGCCTGCTTAAGGCCCGCAGACTCAGTCTGCTAGAAGATGGGAGAACATAATTTAAGTAGAAAAGCTCGATTAATTTACTTAATGTTCATACGAAAGGAGACTGACTCGACAATCAACTCATGTGTCCGAGACCTCCGCTAATTTAGATGGTAGTTCTGACTACGGGATTGGAAAAATGGGGATTAGAGCTCTAGCCTTACACTACTTTGGGAAGTCATTCAGCGATCGATATTTATTTCCACAACTTTCTGTAGCGGGGCTAATTGACGTGTAGCCCTTTATAACATGACAACATAATCCATAAGTGAATAGCAGAATCTATAGGCCAATAAGTTAAGAGAAAGCTGATAACATGTGCCCCTGAGTTATGCCAAGTTTACTCATCCATTATTGAGCCATCGAGGATTTCCCTCCTTGCACAATCCCGATCCTCTATATCACAGAAAACCAATAATCTAAAGGATAGAAAGCCCATTTTTATCGACTGAAAACTGTTCAGGTCAACATTAATCTGAGGATGAGTCTCGTGAAGTGAGTGAAGATGTATACCGTTCGCAAAGACTTTCAAGCTGGGCGAGGAAATTCGACTAGCCCACGTATCTCTATTCATGGTAGATTTGGCTACTCGTTTTTTGGTTAGTGACAACCCTTGGTTGTTTTGGGAATCTAAATTGTGCCAGTTTTATTCCTGGCTTTTTTTAAACTTGCTGAGCTTACTTAACCTTCGAGTGAAAGTGTTTGGTGGAGAGATTTGAAGGTCGATTCCATCAGAACAACTGTCGATTGGCTTTAGTGGAAAATTTTTGTCGATCTTGGTGGGTTCTCTTCACTAAGCACTTTCATTCAAAATGGAAGTAAGCTCAATCATCATGAACCAAGAGGGTCTTCACATTTTTTAATACGTAGTAAAAAGGGG